AAATGGCCAACCCTGTCCTTAGGGTGCACAAATTGGGTGCGCAAAGTAGTTGCCGGTTTGTGCACAGTCTGTATCTGGTGCTTTCATAGCTGTCACACAGGACACACATTTGCATGGGAGCAAACCCAAATCATTGGCGTCTGCTCAACTAGGAAGAGCCGCGAAGTTCTGGGGGAAATGCACTCAGACGAGGCATGCATTACCAGGCACATCTATTTGGACGTCAGTTGCGTATCGCTCAAGATCAGATGAAAACATAAACGGCCACCACCGATTGCATAACTAAGTGTGGGTGACGGCCACTTTCCCCACTCACCGCATAAATAAATGCGGATGACGATTATTTACTTACACTATGGCACACCATATAATCTTGTGTTAGCCACCGTTTTAAGTTAACTGTTTTCCTAAAACTATCACTTGTTTGACGACGAACTGGAGAACCAGACTTGAAAATTTACGCAATAAACATTATTGTTTCCCAAAAGACTTTATTTTTAATAAAATGTACCTCTAGGGATGCCGATATTTAAATATATGTTAGTGCGACCGTGACCCTTTCATGCAAGTCCATCAGGATACCAACATTTCTTTGTTGATAGTGACAATTCAACTTCATGTTTGCATTGTGGACAGAGAGTACCTCAGCCCACAACGTTGACCTACACAAAGCCGAGCTGTTGCGAGAGTCGACGGAATAGGTCACGTTTGACTTATACTCTTAACGAAATCTAACATTTGTCTACTGTCGACAATGTGGCTAACAAGACACTTGTTTAATTTCTTAGGCTGGAGCACGCAAGTTACATATAACGTCAAAGAAAATGGTCAGAAGTCTACGTGCATCTGGTCGGTATATCAAAATGGCATCATAACTACTCTACAAAACAACCCTTATTCGATTATTTTGTTTAAGTGAGGGAGTTTTGGCCAATTGCGATTCCAAGGGTTGAGGCTCTTTTCATGAAGGCCAATGATTAACCCTATAGGAGGTTGTATACAATGTCCGTGATATGCGATCGTCTTTTCTAGAAATTGATATGATCACGATGGCATGAGATATAATACGAAAAAGAGACAAATTCATAGAGTGGTCTGAAAAATATTGGATTATTTTTGATACGCCAGCAGCCTAGTGGAGTTTTGTGTGTTTAGTTGCTGGCTATTGGACTGAGACTCAGGCGGTGACGGTTGTGAAGTATTCTAGTGACACGACCGACGCTGCGGGTATACCTGTGTGGGGTGCACAAGCAAATTTATAATCGATAAGTGAGACATTTCACATGGTCGTCGAATAGTATACACCTCGACGGGAGATTGATAGTAGACCGTAGATAAAGGGCGCCACGCAAATATATTTTTCGGATATTATTTATTAACCATGGAATGTAGTTGTAAAACCGGGGTGAGTGGATCTCGAAAGTAGTGCATTTTCAAAAAACCAAATCTACCGAAACGGAAAACAGTTGTGGTGAGCATGAAAATATAGACTTCAGTATCCAATCTCACTGTACCGTTTCAGCTTTCTATTGAAAATTATTTGGGTTGCTCAATAAAGTTCAGATTAACAGATATTACTTCTTAGTTGTTATAAATCTACCTACTGTGTTTGCAGTAGTTCTGTACAGCATTTTTATTTAAGGTGGGAATTTACATAGACTTTAAAAATACTATATTAAAGTGATTTAAGTTTAGAAACATAATAGGTCGCTCTCAACTACTTGGCACTTGGCAGAAAAATACCTCATCATTTAGGTTTCACTAATATTTCTGGCCAAGAATGTCCCGAAGAAACAGTTTTCTTTTCTAATAAGAAAGTGTCGTACTGGACCAGAAGCTTATTATAGTTCGCATGTTCTTATGAATATAATTCTCTTCATTAAAACAAACTGTGAGAAAGATGGTGAACATTTGAACCCAAAAACGTTTGACCTAGAATGTATACAATATGATACCCGAATTCGTGTCCGCTTCTCCGCTTAATACTATACGACTGTCAATATTAATATGAAGTGGTGCACGCCACTGCCTCTAATGGTTCGATTATTCCCCTCATAAAATTTGCTGGCAGCGTATGCATTCCAAACCCCATTGGCCGTCTCAATGAAATAATTTTAATCGGCAGAAATTAATTAGTTTGTAGTAATTTTTAAGATAACATTACTATTTAGTAAAACTTTCTAACTATCAGCTTCGGCGCATTAACAAATAAAATTCTCTTTTTTCAAAATAAATTGTTAAACATACAAACCGACCAAATATTCATCTAGACTGAAGCACAGGCTCGACTTAACGTAAAGTTATAAAGAATACACAGACCTTTCGTATGAGTCTTTGCACTTTCTCAATTGCAGTTTTTTCTGCCAAATTGTTCTGTTATGGCAATTACTTAATGTTACCCGAAAGTGTTTTCCTGTTCACTAAGGCCACTATCATCATTTTATTTATTAGTATTTCAGTTTTCTTGATGCTCAGACCTAAATAATGAAGACTTATCATAAAAGCGATCTTTTTGAACCCCTGTTTATTTAAGTTCTTGTGTTTCCATCAAAAAGCGAATCGCAGCCTTTTAAAATGGAGATCCTGTCTCGGCTGTCGTGTTTATGGTCAACGACGACACATCTATACTTTCTTTGCTTTACTTTGACGTCGAAACCCAATTATCATCGGCAATGACTACACTATAATCATGGTGCCATGAGGGTATTCACGCTGGATAGGCAAATCAGCGGCCATTGTGAAGCACCACACCCTTATTCCACGCCTCTCATTTTTTGGCCTCAATTTAGCGGTGCTAGTGTAATTTATCTACCCATGCCCATATTGTCATTGTCTGACTCGATAAAACGTTTCACTCAACGGGAGTCGACGTAAATGATTTCACAAGTCGTTATTGGAGAGCCAATTTAACCTTCTATGGGAATTTACCTAGAGCATATTCAGTGATTATTAATATTGTGACCTCCTTCAGAAAATTATCCCTATGTGATAGTATATTTAGGGATTTCCGCGGAAGTCTCACGAGATTCAGCCACCCCCTTCTCCTGTTTATTGTATATATTCTAGGCATTGTAAATTGTCTTTTTCGGAAATATGTGAACGGAAAATGGGAAGTATACTACTATCGTACTTTATGGTCACTTGATTACTTATATACATGCCACTGTGTTATGAAGCTCGCTGTGGGTGGGGAAAGTTAAACTTGGAGACTCATTCCAAATAATTCGACTACTGAAATATAAAGTAGTAGTAGTGGTTTTGATGTTCAAATTGTATGAACCAAATTTTTACTTAAAGGAAATCAGACTATTTAAATTGCTTAATTATAGCCTATTGACAACAACCACGAAACTCTTAGCGACCGTGCACTCCGACCTGATTTTACCCCTAACATAGACCGCTTGAAATGAATGCAGCACCCATTACCTCACGTGTGAAGAAAAAGAAATTGAGAAGTTGAAAGCCGACCTGTCTGCACAACAGATGTGGATATCGTGTAAACCTTTAATTTTAAGTATTTTATGATCTTTTACCATGACCCCTTATCTTATACTTTGCTCTCCGTGAATGGAGCCATTTTTGATGAAAATTTCGGGTATTACCTTCAAAATAAAGCATTTTCTCTAAAAAATGTTTGATAGGTATGCAAGGGGTGTAACATATGCATACTGCTACATCTGAAATTATCGCACCGCGTACGAATATCGGCAGTGAACGTAAGAGCTGCCAATTTTTATAGTTACACATTTGCATAGCTACTACGTCCTGTAAATATTGCAAAACTCTTAGCAAAGCACTACTCGCATTTGATTCTGATGGCTTTGAGTGCGAATACGAAACATCAAGCGAATAAAACTATTTTTCAGACGATTGCATCGCTTTATTTTGCTGCAACGCGTTCTGCTAGGCTCAATATTAGAAAACCTTAATCCTTCGGGCGTTCTTTACGTACGCCTAGGTTCCCTTTTGAACAGTCGTCTGGAAAATAATTTTTTACCGAAATGTGCTTCAAAAAGCTCACAATAAACTCGGAGATGGTGTTAAGGCAAACAGTATTTCAACACGACAGAAGACTAATCAGAGTGCTCCTACAAAATAGTCATCTAGGAGGAAAAGAACCTTGCTCGACACTGAGCATCATCTCCCCTCTTGGCTCACAGGCCGCGCGAAGTGCTTTCTAATGTTGAACTTAACGCAATAAATGAAATTGACTCCGATGAAAATCTCGTTATCGTTCCTTCAGCAAAAAGTCGTTCCAGGATTGCAGTGGACAGGACGGATTAGTTTCAGCAGGCCAAGGTTTACAGGAGGATCGCCAGTTCTAGGTCTCATATGCACATAACAAAGTAAAAACGAGGGATGGGGAATCAGTGTGACGTTTTTCACTACGGAGAACTTTAATGCAATATTACCAGTCGAGCGACGCATGAGGAGAGCCCATGACACGGCTTCGGCCTGATTCTATGAACTTCCCAAAGTGCACAAAAAGGGTGCTGCCCTTTGGCTCATCATATCATTCAAAGATTCTCCAACTTACGGACTGGTAATGGCTGTTTCATCGTCTAAGATTTCTGAGTGTTAATTCAGACACTGCAGTCAGTCCGGCAACACAATTCTTGGAAATGCTTAAAGGGGTAAGCCCTCTGCCACATGAAGTCCTAATATCTTTCGATGTGACTTCCATTTTTCCCCCTCTATTCCCCAGAATCTGGCAGTCGTGACTATTGAAATACTCCCAAACACAAATACTGAGCGTCAGGCAAATACAACTCTTGTTTCAGCGGCGATGCATGTTTGGTGACTAAGTGGCACCTAACGTCCTGGGCATGTCGTGACAACGAGGAATTTGTCTGTTTGAAAAAAATCAACTCAAGTACCTCAAAATATTATTTAACTCGACTGATCCAAGTATTCAATCCACAACTAAGACCGAAAAAAATAAAACCAGCCTCAATGTCTCTATATCCTTGTGTGCTCCTATGCAATTGGTAGAATGCGAATTACGTAATCAGTGATGGTACCTCGCCTACAGGATCCACGATCACTTTCTCAATAGCTAGAGCGTACAGGCCCCAATGCGTGCGTTTATGACTACAGTCCACGACCTGCTTTTCGCGGACGACTTTGCACTCAACACTGCGACGGAAGAGGACATGCAAAGGAGTATGAACCTCTTTGCCACCGACTGCGTCAACTCTGGGCTGATCATCAATACGGACAAAACGGTGATCATGCACTAAATGCCATTTAACACAGCCTTCACTACTCTCTGCAATAATTTCAAAGGCAGATAACTGCAAGCCGCAGACAATTTTACCTACTTAGGCAGCAGGCTTTTTCGTAAGGTAAGAATCGACGACGAAGTGGTATGACGTATACCCAAGGCCTCGTAATCAGTAAAACAAACAACACAGACAAATACTATACTTCAACATTAATCGCCATTGATTTGACACATTTAATTATGTTTGCGTTCTTCCACAGCTTTGAAACCCTACAGAACGCCGGCTGACCAACGAACCGAAGGACCATACCGTCATGATCCCTTCAAGATGAATGAATATCCAAACCATTTTAAAAAGAAAAGCAAGCGACGAGTGAAAAGCTGACGGTGAGATTAGCGGCAACCCGAAGTTTAAAAAGGCCTTTGCCTAGGTTGCTAGAGTTTCTGAGGTGTTCTCCAGATTGTTACAATATGTCGCGGTAGGCATGACCCATAGACCACAGATGACAATCCGTTATCGTATGATGCGAACTAAGGGCACACTAGCATCTATCGAAACCTATACAATTTCCAGCAGAGTGTTTTCCTATGGTGGAGAATGTAACTAACTCAAGGAATCTGGACGTAGTTGGCAAACCCGTTCGTCTGAGCATAGCTTTTCAACTGGAGAATTGGACAAAATAATTCAGTTTGCAACGCAAACTTGGGGAATCAGTCATATATCTAGCCTTTGGAGCGCAACCATCCTATCGAAGCCAGGACCATTTACACTAGAAGCGCGGATTTCCACTGCCGATTTCAACAGCATACCTCTTAAGACTCCTCCGGATTAGAAAATTATGCTTCAATACCAACTCGACGACCGCTTTAATTGGCGTGGGTTCGAATTCCATCGAGGCCACCGAGTTTTCCACAGTAAGTCAAATGAATTGTTAAAAGCTTCCAGAGCCCCTAACTTACTAAGTGTGCCTGGTAGTCATCTTGTGGATTCTATATTGATTGCTTAGGAAGTCCTGTTTGGGCAGGCAGTTTACTGTATCAGAATTGCTGGACTGCATACGTTGCAGTAGGTTGGCCGGGTATATTGATCCAAGTATGATGAAAGTCACGGCTCCCGGTGGGAGCATGTAGCTCAGTCGGCTAGAGCGTTGGCTGTTGGGCTTGAATCCCACAGAGGCCGCACAGTTCTTCACAAATGGGTCAAATGAATAACTTCATTCTGTCATTAAATAAGTGAACTATTTTTTAACCGCAAGTTTGGCATGTCGGCTTTACTCGTAAATATACAAAAACCGTGAGACTGGCGTTCACAGAACCATCATTATTCAACTGCGCGATATGTTCTTTCTACTTTACCGTAAAGTTATGGTACAACTTGACTGTGAGGCATTGAAAAAGGGGTCGTGGGAAACTGGATTCATCGCACCCTAGTGTTTGTCTTCAAATGTCTGCCATATTCAAACAGAGGGTCAGAATTACGCGAAAATGGAACTCACTTTCAGTTTGTTACTGACCTGCGATTGAGCCACGGACTCACATCCTATCAGATGCCGTTAGCTATGAGAACGAGACATATATTCAACAACTTTGGAACCCAAGTGATTTCTCCTTACGCCTTCTGTCTGCCAAAGCATAAACAGACCCAATTAGCTCCTGACGGGGAATAATACACGAGCTTCCTAACGTGAACACGCAACGACAGTTCGACCGTCGCTCTCGATGATGTCCACCACGAGCTTCAGCAAGCTGAAGCGCGGTGACTATAGCTTGATTATAGTGGAGTAGATTTACAAGATCTACCCCAATCTCTCATCACTCCCACGCCTGTACCCGATATCAAGACAAAAGCCAGGAGGATCGAAGATGGGGGAGGGCGCAGGTGGCTGGCGCGGTTAACAATTCAGTAGGCGTACCAACAGCACACCTTGCTAGGTAGGCTCCTGCGTGCGCGGGAGCATTATAAAGGTCACAGTAAGAAGGAGCCATTGCAGTCTGACTCGCAGACCGCTAGTCGGCCACTCCACATAACAAGATACAAACTGCGTCGACAGTTTTGCCGGCAAAGACAAGGGATAGTGGAATGGCCATTTCTGACTTGCTAGACGTCGTCAACCAGTCATATGCAGACCCGAGGGATGCCCCACTCGAGCTTCGAACTCGCGACCTTTTAGATCATAGACAAACGCCCTACCCATTGAGTCACGGGCTCGTTGTTTATCCGATTTAGGTCAGGGGCTATTTGCCAGCAATATAATCTGCCTATACTACCAGATGTTACGACTGTCAGGGCCTCTGACAGAACGGGACAGATGAGATCACGTCAGCGATTGCGTGAACGTTCATCAACGAGTGACAAACTGAGTTAACTGAACACGCACAGGGTATGTAAGATACAAAACATTGGTGTGAACATCAGCACTAGTAGCATATAGATGAGGGGCGCTCGCTGGTCGCCTCACGGAACCTACTCACTCCTTTCTGCTAAGACGTTCCATTTGCAATCTTATAGGCAATGGCATAGCGACTAGTAATATCTACAAAATCAGACCACTGAAAAAACAGGGAGACTGCGATGATGATTTCTGGCTTATTGCCCGTCATCAGCCAGTCATAACCGAGTAGCTATTTGCATCAACTGAGGAGAAAACCCGCATTCTGTTAAGTATAAA